GCAGAAAGAGATCTTGGAGTCATTATTGAGGCCAAGATGAACATGGGCCGACAATGAGAGGACACTGTCAGTAGGACTAAAAATGCGAGGACACGGTCAGTAGGGCTAACCGTACCTTGTCGTGCATCCACAGTTGCATCACAAGCAGGGCGAAGGACATGATCCTCCCCATCTATGTGACACTGATCAGGCTGCAGCTGGAGTACTGCGTTCAGTTCTGGGCACCGCACTTCAGGAGGGATGTGGACAGCATTGAGAGGGTCCAAAGGAGGGCCACTTGCATGATCCGGGGACAGCAGGGCAGGGCCTACAAGGAGAGGCTATGGGACCTTAACCCGTTCAGCCTTCGCAAGAGAAGGCTGAGGGAGGACCTAGTGGCTGTCTATAAACTTACTAGGGGGGACCAGCGGGGATTGGGAGAGAGCTTGTTTTCCTGAGTGCCTCCCGGAGTAACAAGGAATAACAGCCATAAGTTGTTAGAGAGTAGGTTTAGACTAGACATTAGAAGGCACTACTTCATAGTCAGGGCAACTAGGATCTGGAACCAACTTCCAAGAGAAGTGGTGCTGGATTCTACCCTGTGGGTCTTTAAGAGGAGGCTAGACGTTTACCTAGCTGGGGTCATTTGAGCCGAGTTTTCTCTCCTGCCCGGGGCAGGGGGTCAGCCTAGAAGATCTACAAGGTCCCTTCCAACCCTACCTCTATGAATCTATTAACCTATGAACAGTTCTAGCTAGAGTTAAAAACAGTCTGTAGGGCTGTGAAATAGGAGCTCCATTACCAAGAGCCACTAACAGACAGCAGAATGGCAAAAGGAAAGATAGCTTAATTATCAAATGTCAAAACCATTAAAAAGGAGAGAGGGATATTAATACCTGTGGAATTAAGAATTTAGAAGGAATTAGACAAATTATAATAAGTCATGAAATCAATTGACTTCCTAAGTGCTGCCAGAACAGAAATGCTGCTGCCACTGCCAGGCAGTTTTTTTACACTTTGTGTGGACCAGGAATCCAAAGGGCAATGCACCGCTGCATTCCCCTGCGTTTATGTGGACATGCAGGTAACTGAAGACAGACACAGGGAAGTGTTTTAAGTAGCAGGCCACAACTACCCTTTTCCCCATATAACACTGTTTTTGTGTCTAACACAGCAAAAGTTCCTTATGAAAATGGCACTTGAGGGAAATCCATAAACACTAATTCATAGATTCATAGACTCATAGATTCATAGATTAAGGGTCGGAAGGGACCTAGTAGATCTTCTAGCCCGACCCCCCGCCAGGGCGGGAGAACAACAAAAAACCCCAAAAAGAGAAACGGGACTCAAATGAGTCCAGCCAGGTAGGCATCCAGCCTCTTCTTAAAGACCCCCAGGGTAGGGGCCAGCACCACTTCCCTTGGAAGTTGGTTCCAGCTCCTAGCCGCCCTAAC